CAGTAGGAGTATAGTAATGTCTCCTTGAGGTTTAATTTGTATTTCCCTAAAGACCAAAGATATTGAACTTCTTTCATGTGCTTATTTGCCTTCTGTGTATTTTCTGATAAAATATCTGCTCAGATGTTTTGCCCATTTTGTTTGAGTTGTTGTTCTTACTATTGAGTTTCAGAGTTCTTTATGTATCAGAATACCAGTCCTTTATGAGATTTGTGATTTGCAAATATTTTCTCCCTGTCTGTGGCTTGTCTTTTCACTATCTAAGAGCAGAAATTCTTGATTTTGATGAAGCCCAGTATATCAAGGTCCTGTTTTATGGGTCATGCTATCAGTGTTGTAGAAATCTTTTCCTTAACAAGATCACAAAGATTTTCTGTGTTTTCTTCTGAAAGTTTTGTAGTTTAGCTCTTACATTTTGGTCTGCGCTACAACTCAAGTTAATGTTTGTATGTGGTGTGAGGTAAAGACTGAGTTGCTGGTGGTGGTGGTGGTTGTGGTAGTGGGTTTGTCTTTTTTAGTCTATTGGTAATATCAGTTACACTGATTTTTTAAAAAAAACTATTGAACCAGCCTTGCATTCCTGGAATAAACTCCACTTGGTCATGATGTATTTGCTGTTTTATAAATTGCTGACTGAATCAGCTAAAATTATGTAAAGGATTTTTATGTCTAGTCATGAGAGATAATGGTCTCAGGAATAGTACTTTCTTGTGATATTTTTACCTGGTGTAGGTATCTGGGTAATACTGGCTTCATAAAATGAGGTGGAAAATATTTCTTCCTCTTCTATTTTCTGGAAGATTTTGTGTAGAATTAGTGTTATTTCTTCCTTAAATACTAGTAGAATTTACTAGTGAAGTCATATGGGCTTAGAGTTTTCTTTCTTAGGAAGGGTTTTTCCTATGAATTCAATATCCTTAGTAGATGTAGGGTTGTTCAGGTTCTCCATTTCTTGAGTGAGCTATAGTAGTTTTTTTGTTTTTTGTTTTTTGTTTTGGCAAAGATTTTTCCCATTTCATTTAACTTGCCAAATTTATTTCAATAAAATTGTTCATAATACTTCATCATTATTCTTTTTTTTAGTAAAAGTAGATTTATTCAGAGAGATACATACTCCATAGCACATTATTATTCTTTTAATATCTTTATATTCTGTATTGATGTCTCCTCTTTCATTCCAGATGTTCACGATTTGTGTCTTCTCTTTTTTCCCTGATAAGTCTTTCTAAGAACCAACTTTTAGTTCGATTGATTTTGTTTGTTTGCTGTTTTATTGATTTCAGCTACCTCATGATTTCTTTCTGCTTGCTTTTGGGTTTAATTCGCTCCTCTTTTTCTAGTTTCTTCTGGCAGAAGCTTAGATCAATGACTTTAGGCCTTCTTTTCAAACATAAGCATATAAAGCTACACATTTCCCTCTTCGCATTGCTTTATCTGCATGTTTTAATATTATGTTTCCTCTTCCATGAAAATCAGAATATTTTCAGATTTCTCTTGTGATTTCTTCTTCGACTCATGTATAATTTAGAAGTCTGTTGTTTAATTTCTAGATATTTGGGGATATTTCAGACATCTTTCTGTTTCTGATTTCTCGTTTAATTTGTTGTGACCAGAATATGGTCAGTCCTTATTGTTTGCAGGTTCCCTCTCTGAATTTGACCACTCACTAAAATTTATTATAACCCAAAAATAATACTTGTAGTTCTTTTGTAGTCATTCATAGACATGTACAGAGTGGCCAAAGATTCAAGTCTCCCAAAGCACAGGTTCCCAGCTGAAGTCAAACAGGGCAACATCTGCCTTCTTATCTCAACTTTCATAAAGTCAACAAGTATTCTTTTCATAGTGTATTTAGTGCCATGATTTTCTCATTTTAGTGTTTGTGATTTTGCTGTTTAAAATAGTGAGAGCTAGGAGTGGGAAAGAATTGAGTCAGAGTTGGGGAAAGTGTCTTTAAAGTTTCTCTTTCCTCCCCCAAGAAGGAGGCCTCAGCAGAGGCACCTGAGGAAGACTTCAGCTTAAGGTCCCATATAAAGAGACTTAAGAATGAATGCAGGTGGGCTAGGAATGAAAATGTGTGTAAGAGCATAGCCAGCCAGGGAGATGTGAGTCATTGACTGCAACTCCCATTAAAGACTGTAGTGAATTGGCTGTGCACCAGCTCTGCTGTGGGAAGGACAGCTTTCCTCTTGAACTCCCATTTTATCCCTGCCCACCCCCCTTTTCCCCTGGTAACCATGAGTTTGTTTTCTGTGTCTGTGAGTCTTTATTTTGTAAATAAATTCATTTGTGTCTCTCTTTCTTTTTTAGATTCCACATATAAGTGATATCATATGATATTTTTCTTTCACTTTCTGGCTTTCTTCACTTAGAATGATAATCTCCAAGTCCATCCATGTTGCTGCAAGTGACATTACTTTATTCTTTTTTATGGCTGAGTAGTATTCCATTGTATAAATATACCACAACTTCTTTATCCAGTCATCTGTCAGTGGACATATAGGTTGTTTCCATATCTTGGCTGTTGTAAATAGTGCTGCCAGGAACATTGGGGTGCATGTATCTTTCTGAATTAGAGTTTCCACCAGATATATGCCCAGAGTGATTGCTGGATCATATGGTAATTCTATTTTTAGTTTTTTGAGGAATCTCCATACTGTTTTCCATAATGGCTGCACCAAACTACATTCCTACCAACAGTGTAGGAGGGTTCTCTTTTCTCCACACCATCTCCAGCATTTATTGTTTGTAGACTTTTGAATGATGGCCATACTGACTGGTGTGAGGTGATACCTCATTGTAGTTTTGATTTGCATTTCTCTGATAATTAGTGATATTGAGCATTTTTTCATGTGCCTATTGGCCATTTGTATGTCATTGGAGAATTGCTTGTTTAGGTCTTCTGCCCATTTTTGGATTTGGTTTTCTTTTGTTATTAGTTGTGTCAGCTGTATATATATATTCTGGAAATTAAGCCCTTGTCAGTCACATCATTTGCAAATATTTTCTCCCATTCCATAGGTTGTCTTTTGTTTTGCTTATGGTTTCCTTTGCTGTGCAAAAGCTTATAAGTTTAAGTAGGTCTCATTTGTTTATTTTTGCTTTTATTTCTACTGCTTGGGTCAACTGCCCTAGGAGAACATTACTAAGATTTATGTCAGAAAATGTTTTACCTATGTCTTCTTCTAGGTTTATAGTGTCTTGTCTTATGTTTAAGTCTTTAAGCCATTTTGAGTTTATTTTTCTGTATGGTGTAAGGGATTGTTCTAATTTCATTGATTTACATGTGGCTCTCCAGTTTTCCTAACAACACTTTTCTCTATTGTATATTCTTTCCTTCTTTGTCAAAGATTAATTGACCGTAACTGCATAGATTTATTTCTGGGCTCTCTATCCTCTTCCATTGATCCATATGTGTGTTTTTATGCCAATACCACACTGTTTTGATTTCTGTAGCTCTGTAGTACTGTCTGAAGTCTGGGAGGGTTATTTGTCCAGCTTCATCCTTTTCCTTCAGTATTGCTTTGGCAATTCTGGGTCTTTTGTGATTCCATATAAATTTTAGGTATTCTAGTTTTGTGAAAAAGTTCCCACTGTAATTTCTGACCTACAGAGAAGAGCAACCACAGAGCTCTTCAGGGATGCTGGGCCTTCCCTCCCAAATTGATTTCTCACAGTCATGGTGAGAAAGGTATGTCCTGATCCTTTCCAGGGTGGCTGAGCAGGTCCAGTGTGATAAATCCACACTAATATTCCAGTTTCCTTAAGCCTTTCAATACTTTCCTCTGCAATACACCAACACATTTCCAGCATTTCAGCTTCATTTATTGCTGTTTGTTTTCTATGTCGTATCTGTTCTTTGTTCTCTTTTTTCTTCTTCCTCCTTTCTTTGGATTAATCATTTTTTACCTTCACTATTGGATTTTTACTTTGCTTTACCCTTTTAATGGTTGTTCTGAGGTTTACTATACATCTTTAACATATAATTGGTCTTGAAATTATGTATCACTTGATATACAGGGTAAGAACCTTAAAAGAGTATACTTTTGAAGGAAATCAGACAGAGAAGAACAAATATCATATGGTATCACTATATGTGGAATCTGAAATATGGTACAAATGAACTTATTTCAAAACAGAAACAGACAGACATAGAAAACAAATTTATGGTTACCAAAGGGGAAGACGGTAATCAATTAAGTTTGGGATTAACAGATATACACAGCTGTATATAAAATAGATAAACAGCAAGGACCTACTGTATAGCACAAGGAACTATATTCAGTAACTTATAATTCCCTATAATGAAAAAGAATATGAAAAGAAAATACATACGTATAACTGAATCACTTTGCTCTATACCAGAAACTAACATAGTATATTAAATCAACTATACTTCATTAAAAATTTTTTTAAAGAGTATATTTGATTTTCCCTCATTCTTTGTGCTGTTGTTGTTATACTTCTGCATATATTATGCATTCCTCAGCATATTGCTGTTTTTGCTTTAAACAATTATCTTTTGGAAGGGGGTAATTAGATTTGTTTGTTTGTTTGTTTGTTTATTAAATGGAAATACTGGGGATTGAACCCCAGACCTCATGCATGCTAAGCATGCACTCTAGTACTGAGCTATACCCTCCCCTCTAGACAATTACTTTTTAAAGAGATTTGAAAATGAGAAAAGCATCTTTTCTGTTTACCCACATATTCATCATTTTTAGTGCTCTTTATCCTTTGTACATATCCAAGTTCCCATCTGGTTTTTCCTTCCAACGAAGAACTTCCTTTAACATACTTTGTAGTGTAGTTCTGCTGGCAGTTAGTTCTCTCACTTCTTAATTTGTTTGAAAAAAATCTTTATTTCAGCTTTGTTTTTCAAAACTTCATTTTGATGGGCATAGAATTTCAGATTTCCAGTGTTTTTCTTTTGGTACATTATACATGTCTGGATTGCGTTGTTGTTTGCATAATTTCTCTCTCTTTTTTTTTTCTTTTCACGTCAGACAGGTAATGTGCTGACATAACAAGGTTCGAGGGAGGCACATGTCACACAAACGCCTGAACACCCAGTCATCATGCTCATGAACTACAAAAGAATTGCTTGCATAATTTCTGATGAAAAGCCTGTTGCCATTTTTGTCTTTGTTCATCCATGTATAATGTGTCTTCTTTACCCCTGTGCTACTCTGCCCCCAACTGCTCTCAGATTTTCCCTTTATTACTGATTTTAGCAATTTCTGATCTACCTTGGGGGCTTTTTTTCTTTTTGGTTTTTGGTTTTTTATGCATGGGATTCATTGAGCCTCTTAGATAGTGGGCTTATAGTTTTCATCAAAATTGGAAACTTTTTGGCTATTTCTTCAAATTTTTTTCCATCTCCCACATCCCTTTTCTGAGATTTCAACCTCATACATGTTAGATCACTTGGTATTGTCCCAAAATGAAACTGTTTTTCTTTTTTAGTAATTATATTTTCTGTTGCCATGCATTTGAGTTTCCTGATCTTTTCTTCTTCCCTGCATGATTAGCCATCAGTCCAATCGCTTGTATTTTTCATTTCAGGTATTGTTTTCTTCCATATCTAGAAGTAGCATTTGATCCACTTTTATGTCTTCAATTTCTCCACATTATGTTTCTGTTTCCCTCTAGCTTCTTGAGCGTATAGCATGAATTTACAATAGCCTTTCTAACATTCTGTCTGCTGATTTCACCTTCTCATTTCTGCATCTGTCAGTGAATTTGTCTCCTAGCTGTGGGCCATTTTTTTTCTTGTTTCTTTTCATGCCTTTACGATGGTTCTTTCCCTGACCTTGGGTAGTTTTCTCGCATGCATGTGCAGAATGATACTTGGCCAGAGTTTCAAGGGGCCACTGTATAGATCTCTGTGGAGCTCTTTTGTGTAGCAACTACTGTCCAGTATTCGTCACAAATTCCAGGTGCCTCAGCCTCCCTGCAGGCTGCAGTATGACTTTCGTGGGCCCTGTGTACTTTTGCTCTTTGAAAGTTTAGGGCTTAGTTCTTTTTCTTTCTCCTTCACACAAGGTCAAAATAAGGCAAATGTCTTAAGGGAGGGATTGGTTGCATACTTGTTACGGGCTTCTCTCCCTGTTGGGATTTTGCCTTTTCAACCCCAGCCGCCTCTTTCTCCAGTGTGGCTCTTACAGGCTTTTGATTGAGAGCCTGGTAGGTGTCTGTTTTCCTGACCCTGTGAAAACAGCCTTTGAGTTTTTTGAGTCTAGCTCTTTAGTCTCCTGCCTCCAGCAAGTTTGCTATCAGGCAGATGCCGTAAGTGAAAAATCAGCTGCATGTTTTTAGAATGTCGCTCTCTCTGTAGAAGTACTCCATGTGCTAAAGGTTATGACACTGAGAGATTTCACTGTCGCTTCCAGCCTCCTGCACCACCTTAGAACCCCACAAATGTTCCCTGGGGAAAACTAGCTTTGCATTTGGTTTCTTCTAGTTCTGATCTGTTATGTGACCACCAAAAACTGATTATTTCGCTTTCCCCCAGCAGCAAGCATCCTTCTGCTTGAGCCAGGTCCAGTCTTCAGCCCAGAAGCATCATGTATACCCCCAGAAAAGAGAATGTCCAGCAGTCATCAGTTCACCTCATACAAGCTCTTCCTTCTCTGGAATTCTAGTTCATACAACCTTTGTTACTTCCACATTTATCTTTACCATATAGTTTTGCAGTTTATTCATTTTTTTCAGTTTTGCAGCAAGAATACAGGCCTCACAAGACGTGCTACATCCTACTCAGAAGTGGAAGCCAGGCAAATATGGCTTAAGATTTATATTCTACCTGGAGTAGGTTGTTGTACCATCACTCAGTGTAACTTCTCTCTTTGAGTTCATAGTTCATAGTTCACAACTCTCACCGACCAGTCTCAGGTCTGACATGGAAAGCTGCACTGAAAGTGGGTGCCGGAGCCTTTGGCTTTGGCCTGCCTGGGTTTTTCCCACCTGCGACTGATCCAAGCCAGATTTAATTCCAGTCTGTTGTGTTCATTTTTACAGGACCAGGATTAAAACCTCCAGAGGAACGGACAATTGAATACCTAGAAGAAGTTGCAATTACTTTTGCCAAAGGATTAGCTGATAAAAAGATCTCTCCAAAGAGAGACAAGGGATTGGTGGAAAGTGAGTGTCATTATTAAAGAACAGAGGCAAAGCTTCCTTCCAGGGAGTTTAATTTTGTTTGGTCTAAATTCAAACTGAGGAAGAGGTAAGTGCATTATTTACTCTAGGCATAAAGTCAACCTTAAAGGGCGCACTAACTCTGCTCTAGGATCAATTCATGAACCTTACGCTGGTTAGTTAAAGACATGTTTTTTTTTAACTATTTTGGAAAACTTAAAACATTAATACCAAAGTTGAATAATATAATAGTGCAATAAACACTCATGTACCCAACACCCAACTTTAACATTTATCAACTAATTAAACCATGTTTAAAGAAGTGCTTGGGTTGAAATTTAGATTTTTTTTTTAATTTAGATTTTGTATATCAGAATAAAGATCAGTTCTTTCAGATAGCTAGGAGTACTGCATTTTCATGGAATTTACAGTAAAACAAACAAGGGAAGCTGGGCTCTTTCCAGTAAGGATCTAAAAGCATTTTACCTTACAGAATTGACATCGTATGCCATGAGTATTCCATTTGTCAGGCAACAGATTTACAGAAAGGTGGAAGAAAAAGTACGAAAGCAGACCAAAGGCCTTTATCCTGCACCTCTGAAAATAATTGATGTGAGTCTTTACCCCCTGCTCCCACATTTCTCACATTTCTTCGTTTTGTCTAGAGCATATACTCTTTCTTGCCATTCTGAACCATGTATGACAGTACTAAAGTTTTTTCATTCTGCTATTAAAACAAAAAATAGCAGAAGAGCATATAGCAAGCTATGAGGATTTATATAAATGGATATATTTGAGAAAAATTAGTGGCAGGCATACTTTTTAGTTGATCAGTTTAAAACTACCAGATATAAACCAGGAAAGGAACCTATGTCATATCAGTGTAACAAGCCAGTAAAATATTGGGCATTAAGAAGGAGTTTAAATAAAATTGATGGCTGTATTCTATCCTTAGTCTAAATCTTTGTCAGTACCTAAAATGTCTCATTGACTTCCCCATGGCCATAATTATAAAAAAGGTGTAATGCTACAGAGAAGTTTGGAAAAGGTCAAGGAGGATAATTAAAATGATCACAGGGTTGAAGAAACTTCTGTCTGAAGGTAGACTTTAAAACTTACAAAATTTTCAACCTGCAAGGTCCAAGATTAAAAGAGCATGAAACCAAAGATTTCAAAGTTGGAGAATGAATTAGTCAACAAATGTATTTTGAGCAGAAGACATCAAAGTCCATAAAATATAAAACATGATTCCTACCTCCATTCATCTCACAGTCTGGGTTGGGGAGATTAGACATATATGTGTGGTAAGGCAGATGACAGTATAGGGGATGTTATACAGCTGCATAGGATTAATGCCAGATAACTGGGACAGAGGAAACTGCTGAGTTCACAGAAGAAGAAACAGTCACTGTGAACCAGAGAAATTAGAAGGAGTCTCATGGAATTTGACCTGAGCCCTGAAAAATGGGTAGAGAATAGCTGAAGAGAAAGCAGTGCCAGAAAGAATGGGCTTTTTTTTTTTTTTTTTTTTGAGGGTAGTAGTTAGGTTTATTTATTTATTTATTTATTTTTAGAGGAAGTACTGAGGATTGAACCCAGGACCTCATGGATGCTAAGCACACACTACAACTTGAGCTACACCTTCTCCTTTGACAGGGTGGGCATTTTGAGCAAAGTTACAGAGGCCAGAAAGCATGAAGTTCTTCAAGGAACATTTAATGAAATCAGTTTTCATGGGAGTATAATGCAATGTCTTCAGAAAGGCAGACTGAAGCTAGATTTTTTTTAGACTGACAGTAATTAAGAAATTTGATGTTTGTCCTGTGTAGACCGTAGAGAACCATTTTCATGGTAGTGAGTAAAAATGGATTTAAAAGAGAGACAAAGTAGAGCAGTGAACTAAGAAGCTATCTTGGTAACTGAGACCTGAAGTCTGAATAAGACCCTGAGATAGAAGAGTAAAAGTGAAAATATGAAGATAGTAAGAAACTTGCCAAAGAGAGGTTATGAGTTAAGTTTTAGAAGAGTTGAGATTAGGTGTTTCAGGAAATTCAAGCAACAGTAGTTTAGGCAGAGAAGTCAGTTAAGGATATAGATTTGTTTGTTTGTAATGTCTTTCCCATAAATTATGGTGATTGAGTACAGGGTCATTTCTTTCATACTTAGGATAGTACTTACCCCACATGTTAAATTGAATTTCATGATGTTGATGGTTAATGTAATGGACTAAACGATATGCCTGTGGAAAAAATCACAGAGAGAAAAAAGGGCTGAACGTAAAACTTTGGGGATTTGCCCACATTTGGAGAACAGGAGAGGAGCTGGAAGAGCCATTTAAGCAGGAGGGAAGGGACTTAAGAGGAAAAGGTAAACCTGTCACTGGACTTGGAGAGGGATGATGGCAGCTCTTTCTCCGATAAAATAATAGGATCCGAAGGTGAATGAGAAGGTAGAGTTTGAGCTGTGGAACCTCTGTGTCTTTCCCTGTTCTGACTGTTTAATTCTCTTTCCGTCCATTTTATTTCCTTCCATTTTACACTAGCTTTAGCAGTAGCCTCAGAGATGCAGATTTATATCAGTCTTAAGCAACCAGGCCTCAGTCCTCTTCTCTTAATCACTCCAGTCTAGACTTGGACTTAGTCTTTGAGGATTAACAACACTAGCAGTTTCTTCAGCCTTATTGTGCATCTCGCTAATCCATTCCAACAAGTAACAAGTGCTTTTTATATTCTATAGGTAGTAAGGACTGGGATCGAGCAAGGGAATGACGCCGGCTATCTCTCTGAATCTCAGGTAAAGTTATTTCCTTTCAGTGTTTTATTGTTAGGTACCAGAAGACCAAGATCTGTGTAAAATGAAAAAATTTCAAAACCTAGTAAAGTTTTCTCCCCGTGGTTGTCATTTCTTATGATTAATCTCAGCGAGCAAGTAGATGCTAAGAAAGCCCTACTGGTCCCCAGA